ATTTTTTCATCAAGTTGTAGGTAATTTCATTTCTCATCAAAATTGAAGATGTTTGTTGTTATACAGGGTGTAACTAAAAGGTGCATTCTGCCCTAAATTTCTGAACACCCTGTGGAAGAATTGGATTACTGAATAATGTGTCTTCGTATGAGAATTTCAAGCCTCAACTTTTCCCAACAATTATTTGTTTTATTCATGTCAATATCACAATTATTGAAGAAACATGCGAATCATAATAATAATGATAATAATGGTTTATTGGCGCTATTGCACAGAATCTGCTTACACAAGTCAATATAATAGAAACGCTTAGTTACAAGAACAAAATAAATGACAAAACAATACATATAATAGCAAACAGTACAGATTACACACACTTAAATATGGTTAAGAGGATGACAAAAGTATAAAAGATAAAATTATTACAAACTACGTTAAAATCAAGGCATGAGAGATAGAACTGAAATAAATATTTTATACATGGTTCGAATAAGTAGCTAGAAATAGAAATGTAGCTTAAAATATAACTATTGAGTATCCGTGGAGAAGTTGTGGTTGAGGAACTCGTCAATGGTGAAAAAAGCAGCCGACAAGAGCAGTTTTTTCACAGCATTACTGAATTCATTGTATGCTAGTGATCTTAGTTCCTTAGGTAAAATATTATACAATTTTATGCCATGGCAATTAACTCCATTCCTCGTTTTAGCAAGTCTATGTTGTTTTGGGTACAAGTTATCTCGGTGCCGGGTATTATATGAATGAGTCTCATGGTGGCTTGTATAAAGGTCAGGATTTCACTTGACATGCAAGAGGCAGTTCAATATATACTAAGCGACATATAAATCCGAACACCCAGTTTAAATGGTTTTATTTTAATAAAATTTTGTATAAGTACTTAATGAAGCATAATGAGTAAATGATAAAAAATTCAAAATGATCGCACTGCTTTAAAGCCCTTTGACCTTTAATAATGTGTGGATGCACCATGATGTGCTACGCATTCTCCAACGCGCCTAGGCATGCTTCTGATCAGGTGGTCAATGTCCTCCTGTGGTATCTCATTCCAGGCAACCACCAACTCCTCTCGAAGTGCTTCTAGAGTCTGAGGAGGACGTTGCAAATTGAGCAATCTCCTACCCATCATATCCCACACGTGCTCAATTGGGGATAAGTCGGGAGATCTTGGTGGCCATGGTAACAATGTCATCATTATGTTGAAAGAAGTCTATTGTCACTCTTGCAACATGTGGTCGGGCATTATCTTGTTGGCAAGTTAGATCTGCCAGGGTGTCAAGATAGGGTAAAAGATGGGGTTCTAGAACTTCGTGGATATAACGCTGCGCGTTCATGTTACCTCTGATGAAGATTAAAGGTGACCTGGAACCATAAGCTATAGCACCCCAAACCATAACTCCAATAGTGTGATGAACATGTATTTCAACAAAAAACTGTGTATTCCTCCTTTTACCTCGTCGCCTTCTAACCCTGGCACGACCATCGTGCAAGCCTAAACAAAATCGAGACTCGTCACTAAAGACAATACTGTTCCATTCCTGATCCCAGAGTGACCGTTGTCTGCACCACTCAAGGCGATTACGTTGGTGTTCTCGAGTTAAAGGGAGGACCCAGTGTGGCCGGTATGAAAACAAGCCAAAACTTCTCATTCGTCGGTAAACACTTCGCATGCCAATAGGTCTTCCGTTTTCTGCAAACCATTCATTTGCAATGGACCTGGTAGTGGAGAAACGGTCCCTTAAGGCCAATAATCTTAGGCGGCGATCTTCACGGTCTGTTGTTCTACGGCGGCGTCCAGTGCCCCTTGCTCTTTGCGTACAGCCTTCTCGAAGCCATGCCTGACAACACCTAACCACAGTGTCTACACTTCTTTGCACTCTAACTGCAATTGCCCGAAAAGAAAGTCCAGCTTCCCGAAGTCCCACTATACGGCCCCTATCAAACTCACTAAGTTGACGAAATCGTACAGGTCTCCGTACTCTAGGCATCGTAACCGATCGTAAAGGATGTCAAGAACCAAAATCCGCCAACGTTGCTTCTTTACTGCGGCTGAAATATTCATTTTTAGAGCGTTAGTGAATTCAAAACAAGCAGTATAAAAACCGGAATGTCCAACTGATAAGGCTGAAAATTTGTTCACTTGTTATTTACAGTAAGATAAATACATTCACCAACTTTTATTAAAATAAAACCATTTAAACTGGGTGTTCGGATTTATATGTCACTTAGTATATATGAAGCAAAACTATCATATTTCTATTACCATTGCAGGAAAAATTTGTCTAACAGGTGCAGCTTCTTAATAATAGAATACCTTTCACTGACACCAAATACGCAACAGTTTTCAACCGTTAATTTAAATATTCGAACTTCGGTTCACAAGTCTTCTGCAGCATAAAGATATCTGCATCACACAATTCCGTGTTTCTCGTTTATGTCGGTTTCTCAGTCCGTGTCTGTTGTATATCAATGCGTCATAAGTACTGAGTCAACCTACTTGACGAAATATTCAGAGAACCACCATAGAACAGTAACACAAATTAAAAGATACGTCAAAGGGGTGGTACATTTAAGGATCATGGAAATATACTGGGTGCAAACGTTATGGTAGTCATTATTGAAATGGGTAATAGAGGGGGGGGTTCAAAACAGTCAAAAAGTTCATATGACCCATGGTCCAAAAGCCAATAGGTTTTTATCTAAATGGCCTTATAGTTTACAACTTTAAGTGCTTTATATCGACCATAATCACCACAATCTTACTAATTTTTATAATCGAATCTAAAACGTTTTTAAATTGGGTAAGTAACAAATAAATGGCATTAAGTTTTTCTAAATTAAGCCAAAATTTGTAGTCAGTAAGTAAGTTTCATTGAATTAAATATTTGAAACACATGACAACAGCGGTCGGTGTTTCATCACTCTTATCGAACCGTCAATCGACGGTAAACGGTAACAGTGGTTAGTTATAGTTTTGCATAGATAAATTACTTTATCGTTTTGTCGAGCAGATCATCGGGCGTGTTGTTTTGTTTTTGTTCGCGTACGTCGTCGTGGTTCTTTACAATGTTCTCGAATCAATAGTTCGCCGACATGTTGTTAGTTTACGGTGAAGCTCGTCGGAATTCAAATCTTGCAGCTCAAATTTATCGCGACGGATTTCGCCAACGAGTACACCCAGACGAAGGACATTTGTGCAAGTGTACCAAATACTTCGAGATACAGGAAGTATTCAGCCCACTAATATTCTCACTCGTGAAAGACAGGTTACTGTAGATATCAGCACTCGGGAATTAGGCTGCCTATCGCATACCACAGTCCATAGAATCCTAGGGGAAAATTTGCTTTATCTCTACCATGTACAACGAGTGCAGGCCTTGTTAACCGAAGACTATCCTCGCAGACTAACATTCTGTCAGTGGTTTTTACACAAAAACATTGAAAAGCCGAATTTATTTAAAAACATTCTAGCAACGGACGAATGTACTTTTACGCGAGACGGGATATTAAATTTCCATAATACTCAAACGTAGGCTCAAGAAAATCCTCATACCATTCGTGAAGGTCATTTCCAACAACGTTTTAAAATAAATATTTGGGCGGGTATTCTTGACGATCAGGTAATTGGCCCTTTCTAGTTACCCCCAAAGTTGTCAGGAGAAGGACACCTTAGCTTTCTAGCCAATAACCTACCAGAACTTTTGGAACAGACCTTAAATAACATGCCATTACAAAGGAGACCGAGTTTGTGGTTTTTTCATGACGGGGCACCACCACACATTTTTAGAGGCGTCAATCAGTATTTGAATGAATCGCTGGATCGGTCGAAATGCTCCTGATCCTCGAAAATGGGCAGCAAGATCTCCTGACCTCAATCCGATGGATTTCTGGTATTGGGGAGAACTTAAAAGGATGGGTTATGAGGCTGGTCCAATAACAACTGAAGCACAACGTCGCGAAAAAAATTTTAATGCGACTGAAATGATAAATGGACAACTTCGAGGACCTAGGGTAAAATACAAAAAAAGTGCAGTGTAGGCTTTAAAAAGAAAAACAATGTATGTAACAAAATTGTGTTCCCTATTTATAAGTGGATTTTTTTAATACGTTCAATAAACTTTCACACCCCAGGTGAATCACTTAGACGGTTAGTGGCAAGGCCGTTTTTTAATTGTTTGCTTTTTACGAGTACATTATCAAATAATGAAATAATACCTAAGAGCCAAAAATAACAAACTCCATCTTTATTTAAACTGCTTTCTGTCGTAATTTGCGTCTGGCATTGCGGCTTTGTCAGATTTTATTTTACTTTAGAGTCGCTTTTCTCTAAAAAAATTCCGTTTTGACCCCCATGCTATATGAAACTTTTTGCTTCTTTTAGGCCCGTATCGTCAGTCGTCCCTACAATTGTAGGGCGCCTTTATGGTCTCCTTGATTGTCATAGTTTTCTAGTTCTCCGTGTCAGCGCTCTATTTTGATTTTATGTCACAAACATCTATTTGCATCAAATTGTGCTTGATTTTGAGTTATATCATGTTTTATCAATTTAAAAAGAAAACATATCTTCGCTGACACGGGACAAGTGTAATCTAGAAATTTTTGAAGGAGAGAAAGGAGTATGACAATCAAGGAGGCCATAAACGCGCCCTACAATTGTAGGGACGACTGACGATACGGGTCTTAGCCCCCTCTATAACCCATTTAAATAATGACTGTCATAACGTTTACACCCTGTATATGTAGATATAAAAATAGTCACGTCGCCATTTACAAAAGCATCGCAGAACGCTAAAGTGGTACGTACATACGCAAATATTGCTAAAATATATATGTGTTACCGGACAAACCCGATTTTAGGATAAACTAGTTTTTCCTAGGCCAAACCAGTTTATCCGAAGAGCGATAGGATGAACTAGTTTATCCTAGCCTAAACTGGTTTTTCCTGAAATAAGTTAATTATGATTAGGAAAAACTGATTTGTCCTAGTCTACATCCAGTCTTTTGACAAAATCAACGTTTTTACTAGTAATTAAAGAAAACACCATTACATATTACAAACATGTTTAGTAATTTTTATTATTTACTTGTTATTACATGTCAAACTATTATGGCATTTCGAGTTGCAGAGAATGTTATTTTTCTTGCAAAGACATCGATTCGACATACACTTCTTGGTGCAACTACACTTAAAGAAACCTTGGCCTGTTCCAACTGAATGTTTTATCGCTGCGGTTCTTAACGAAATTTCATTGTTCCTGTTTACTTCTTCTTCCAATAAAAACTTTTGTGTGCAGATATCAAATTCATTTCTGAAATGAAAATATTCAATTTAAATCAAATAAAAACCGTAGCAAAATGAATAATTACCTGCAATATAATTTCTGTAAGATACCATGCTTGGTCCCAATCTTTGATCGTGCTTCTAAAATATTTTGTGAGGTTTCATCCATGTCATCGTCTCCATTCCTATCTTCGTCTCCATTCTTATCTTCGTCTCCATCCGTATCTTCGTATCCATAACTGCCTTCATTTTCATGCCCATGTATGTTTTTCCCATCAATCAGTTTTTGAAGATCGTCTTCGTCTTCCTTTAGCAGTTCCGAAGGTAATGAACTAGTAGAGAGGCCAACCTTGGGTTCCGCACCAAACATGGCCTTATAAGGCGATTGTTTAATTCCAGAATGACATGCCCGATTTTTCATAAACTGTATGTACCTTAGTCCTTCTGACCATTTAGTTGTCTCGCTGTCATTCATCCAAGCACTCAGCATGTTTTCAATATCTTGGTTTGCTCTTTCGACTGATCCTTGACTTTGACTATGTCGTGGTTTTCCATTTTGAGCCCTGGCATAAGCTTGTCACTTCTTAAATTACACGATTCACAAATTCTCGGCCATTGTCAGATTGTAGAATGCATGGGGTCCCGAAAGTTAAAAACATATCATTTAAATGGTAGGCTACCTCTTCTGCTCTCTTACTTTCCAATGGACGAAGCAGGACAAATTTTGTTAGGTGGTCCTGATACACCAACATAAACTTAAACTTTCCATCTGGTTGTGGAAGTCAATAAGATCGACTTGGCATCGGCTATTCATTTCGGTGTGCAAAATCGGTTTGGAGACTAGTCCTTTCTTTTTTTTCGTCTTTTTTTGTTGACAGACCATGCACATAGATAAAAAAAGACATATCATTTCTTTTGTGATATTCGCAAACTTTTTAGAAGTTTCAGCCAACATTCTGTCACGACCACCATGTCCCACTGCTATGTGAGCTGCATCAATAACGTCATATAACTCATCAGCGGTGAGATAATACTTTATATTATTTGTATTTCCTTCATTTCGTGCGGTAAGTTTCTTTACACCTCCGATTTCCACCACATCAAATCTTTTCAGTCTTCTTTGTTGCAAGGGTGATTTATTTTCCGTTTTTTTAGCCTCTTCCACTTGTTGGATAAGTGCCAAATACTTTTCCTTTGTCAAAACATTAAAATGAGTTGATTTTTCGTCCTCAGATCTTAAAACCTCTACCAAGAATCTCTGCGTCCACTCTTTTTGACCTACTTGCCCACTTGATGAAGCCTCATCCATGTTAATGACATACAGAAATACTCTGCGAACTTTAGATACATAAACAATCACGAAATGTTTCAGAATGTTTAGCTTATGGACAACACGCACAATACGCAACGATTTTGCAATAAGACGAACGCTCCATAACAGTCAACGTACGCGTGCAAACTAAATCCTTGCGATCGGCGCCGGCGACCCAAATCAAGGTTCAGACGAGTTCAGACTAGTTAAATCGCGGGTCGAAATAGTTTAGACTAGGACAAATCAGTTTTTCCTAATGATAATTAACTTATTTCAGGAAAAACCAGTTTAGGCTAGGATAAACTAGTTCATCCTATCGCTCTTCGGATAAACTGGTTTTGCCTAGGAAAAACTAGTTTATCCTAAAATCGGGTTTGTCCGGTAACATATGCACATATTTCTCCTGTAGCAGTGTGTCAGTGACGACACCACCGTAGACCAGCTGGAGTTTGTTACCCATTGCACAGTCCACGCCAGCTATTGCCAAGCTATTTCTAATTATGGGCACATTAAACATCGGACTTTTATCATTTAATTTTCACGATGTTACCGGGACCAGAAGCTTCTTGATGATAGAGCGTATTTGACTAATACTACATAAACAAAACCTCCAAATTTCAACCCCTACAAAAATTTTCCGAAAATAGTCAAAGCCATCTGAAACGTCAAAAAAAACACATTTTTGTCGCGCTTTTGCCCCTAGGTCCGCCACCACTAGACCGATTTTCAAAATCTACAAAGCTATTTCGACCTGCGTAACGGTGAACTTGTGTGCAAGTTTTATCAAAATCCGAGCAGTACTTCTCAAGTTATAGGCATTAATAAAATTGTGAAAAAATATTATATACAGGTATACCAATTGATAAACTGGAAAGAAATAGATATACATATAAGGCAAAACAAAATACTTTTATAAATATGGCTGTAGTAATATTCACGCATTTATCACCTATCAGTGTTTAATTTATTAATGACTAAGGGCCCTATCGTCAGTCGTTCCTACAATGGTAGGACGCCTTTATGCACCTCCATGATTTTCATAGCATTTTTTCTCTCCTTCAGATTTCTACTGTTCCGTGTAAGCGTCAGCGCTCTCCTATTGTGAGGTTAATGTTTTCTTTTTGAAGTGTTGGAAATTTCAGGCTGATAAAACAGATGATATCAATCAAAAGCATGAACAATTTGATGTAAATAGATACTTGTGACATAACCTCAAAATAGGGCATTGACCGGAGCAGTAGAAAACTATGAAAATCAAGGAAGCCATGAAAGCTTCCTATAACTGCAGGAGCGACTAAAGATTTAGTATAATACTGTAATATGAAGACCTTAGGCCCGTATCGTCAGTCGTCCCTACAATTGTAGGGCGCTTTTATGGCGTCCTTAATTGTTATACTTCTTTCTCTCCTTCAAAAATTTCTAGATTACACTTGTCTCGTGTCAGCGTCAGCGCTCTCCTATTGTGATTCAAATAGATGTTTGTGACATAACCTCAAAATAGAGCGCTGACACGGAGAAGTAGAAAACCATAACAATCAAGGAGGCCATAAAGGCGCCCTACAGTTGTGGGGACGACTGACGATACGGGCCTTAGTGTCACTCTCTGTTTTGAGATCTGAAAATAATTGCCAAAAATTGATAGGTTCCGAGCCCAGAATATACTAAGTGACATATAAATCCGAACACCCAGTTTAAATGGTTTTATTTTAATAAAATTTTGTATAAGTACTTAATGAAGCATAATAAGTAAATGATAAAAATTTCAAAATGATTGCACTGCTTCAAAGCCCTTTGACCTTTAATAATGTGTGGATGCACCCTGATGTGCTACGCATTCTCCAACGCGCCTAGGCATGCTTCTGATCAGGTGGTCAATGTCCTCCTGTGGTATCTCATTCCAGGCAACCACCAACTCCTCTCGAAGTGCTTCTAGAGTCTGAGGAGGACGTTGCAAATCGAGCAATCTCCTACCTATCATATCCCACACGTGCTCAATTAGGGATAAGTCGGGAGATTTTGGTGGCCATGGTAACAATGTGACATCATTATGTTGAAGGAAGTCTATTGTGACTCTTGCAACATGTGGTCGGGCATTATCTTGTTGGAAAGTTGGATCTGACAGGGTGTCAAGATAGGGTAAAAGATGGGGTTCTAGAACTTCGTGGATATAACGCTGCGCGTTCATGTTACCTCTGATGAAGATTAAAGGTGACCTGGAACCATAAGCTATAGCACCCCAAACCATAATTCCAACAGTGTGATGAACATGTTCTTCAATAAAAAACTGTGGATTCCTCCTTTCACCACGTCGCCTTCTAACCCTGGCATGACCATCGTGCATGCCTAAACAAAATCGAGACTCGTCACTAAAGACAATACTGTTCCATTCCTGATCCCAGGGTGACCGTTGTCTGCACCACTCAAGGCGATTACGTCGGTGTTCTCGAGTTAAAGGGAGGACCCAGTGTGGCCGGTATGAAAACAAGCCAAAACTTCTCATTCGTCGGTAAACACTTCGCATGCCAATAGGTCTTCCGTGTTCTGCAAACCATTCATTTGCAATGGACCTTGCAGTGGAGAAACGGTCCCTTAAGGTCAATAACCTTAGGCGGCGATCTTCACGGTCTGTTGTTCTACGGCGGCGTCCAGTGCTCCTTGCTCTTTGCGTACGGCCTTCTCGAAGCCATGCCTGACAACACCTAACCACAGTGTCTACACTTCTTTGCACTCTAACTGCAATTGCCCGAAAAGAAAGTCCAGCTTCCCGAAGTCCCACTATACGGCCCCTATCAAACTCACTACGTTGACGAAATCGTACAGGTCTCCGAACTCTAGGCATCGTAACCGATCGCAAAGGATGTCAAGAACCAAAATCCGTCAACGTTGATTCTTTACTGCGGCTGAAATGTTCATTTTTAGAGCGTTAGTGAATTAAAAAAAAGCAGTATAAAAACCGGAATGTCCAACTGATAAGGCTGAAAATTTTTTCACTTGTTATTTACAGTAAGATAAATACATTCACCAACTTTAATTATTTAAAACCATTTAAACTGGGTGTTCGGATTTATATTATGTCACTTAGTATAATTACCGTCACTAGGCGGCACTGTCATCGCGAATACAGCGAATACTATGCATCTCTAATTCTGGACTTCTGCTACCGCTTGCTCTATAAAGGCGTTTCCATTAGTTCTACGTATGCTCGTAAAGAGCGAAGCCTGTCTACTCCCGTTAAAATCGAAAGTTTTAACGACTTCAAAACAACTGCTGTAGAGCATCAGTCGCACATTCTGTTCTGGTGCAGTTACTCAAACAGTTGGAAATAGTTATACATGTGGACACTGTTTACAGTATAACTTCGCAACTAGCAAGTCTGGAGGCAATTTTAAAATGAACTATAATGTAACTTTTGACTTATCTGTTTAAGTATGTACACATTTCGCGCTATATATACTGGGTGACAAAAAAAGGTTAACATCTACGTATGTTTATTAGAATTCAATAATATTTTACATATCTATTTATCTTGCCCCGAACAACAAGTGATAAAATGGTTAGCTTTTGCTGTTGAGTTTTTGTGGTGGCTGAGTGTATTGTTTGTTGATAAAGAAGCATCTAATTTTCGTATATTTACGGTGTCAGTTGAATGTTAAAATTCATGTAGCTTATTGAGAAGCCTTTTTATGATAGCTGAGAGACAGATTCAGTAGTATTCGAGTCACCGCTAGTCAGTGGTTGGAACAGTTTGGCCTTTTTTCTTATCGCCCCCATTGGTTGCTACCTCACAGCTGAACATCGGCGTAACCATTTGCTCTGGTGTAAAGAAAGGATTATATGGGACCGGGAATGGAATCAGGTGGCCCTTAGTGACGAATCCCGCTTCTGTCTGGGAATGCGCGATGATAAGGCAAGAGTGAGAGGCGTGACCCACAATTTGACAGAGAGCGTCACGTTCGCCACACCGTGGGAGTTACGGTATGGGACGCTAATGCTTATGGTAGCAGATCACCAC